GACTGGATAAGGGCAACGCAGTGGTGTCTGGAGGCCAATTGGACTGTTCCTCGAAGTGCTCTAGCCGTCGTCCTAATCGTCTCCCTTGAGAGTGAATCTCAGAGGCGTCCTTCTTCGCTATAGTCTCACTAACTGCTGTTGACCTTTCCTCCCCAGTTTCCTTAACAAGTCTAAATAACTGTCTACTGTTATCAGTCGTCACTGCCTTTTCCGTCTCCTTAGCCTTCTCTACCCACCACTTGGCGTAGACGTTTTCTCAATCTACTTTTAAGTTGCGCTCGCTCTTCGTTGTACTCAGAGCCTGCAGAGATGCTGTCTCGTGCATCCGTTAGTTCGGAAGAAGCTGCTGATATGCAATGGCCCTTTTTAGCCACTATTTCGAAGTTGGTTACGATTTTCAGCACTGCTTTCACAGCAGACTGGAGACGGCACGAAGCATCTTCTGGACAAGCTATAGTGTTCTGTTCCGATAATTGCCTAGCCAATATCGCACTGAAAGCGGCTTTGGTGTTTTTGTTGTCAAGCTTCACTCTTACTGGTTTTATTGCCGAGTTTTTCCGATGTCCATTTAGACGCAGGCGTACACGCGCTCGGACCAACGCGTGGTCGCTATCCAAACACCTACTCTAGAAGAAGCGATAGTCTCCCAAAGATCCTCTACAGCAATGACTAATAGCAGTGTAGCCTGTTTATGTCCGTCTCTGAGTTGAGCTCGGTGAAGGCCACGTCACACAGTATCTTTCTTTTTGTCTGAAATTTGTGCTAGCTGAAAATAAGCGGTTATCTGAGCACAGTTGTAGTAGGCGATCACCGTTATCTATTCGTTCAGCTGGGATTCCAAAGTGCCACTTAAGTACCTTTCTGCCTCACTCAGTCTACCCACCTGTGCATTGAAATCACCTGCAACAACCACCACGTCTGAACGTTCGGCTTTTGAAAGGAGATTAGCCAGTTTACGATAGAACTTGTCTTTCACTTCATCCGGACTTCAGTCAGTGGGTGCGTAAGAAGAGATTATAAAGAGATAACGGTGAGTTTCACTATTCCTTTTAGTTCTCACTGTGCCATTCAGCCGGACCGCGCAGATCCGACTGTCAACTGGGATCCAGTCTAGTAGTGAGCTTTCTGTACTAGTGCCTAATGCTATGCCTACACCTGCAAGACCGCTAGAGCTAGCCATGGAATCTCCAGAAACTCTAAATGTGAATTTTTCAGATTCACCAGATTAGGTGAATAGCTGCACTTGGGTCCTGTATGTGTGTCTCACAAACACAACACACATCCATGACCCGAGTTGCTAGTCTTGGCCAACGAAGCCTGTTGACCAACACCGCCGGCCCGGCAGACCGTGAGGTATGGTGGAGTGTGTTATTTTTGGGATCGACCTTTTCTAACCTTCCACTTAGAAGGCAGCATCAGCATGGCACTACTGGTCATCCAAAGGAAACACCTTACTGCTGTCACATCCCATTCAGCTAGTAGCAGTACGACTTCGCCCTCAGACCCCCACTATAGTGTAGTAATTAACATCACGATGGTAACTGCTTTTCGTCTAACCACTATCTAACAGACCTTTTTATATGGTGGGACGTCGAGGGAACGTGTGTTCCACCAGCATGGCTCGTTGGGTCATTATGATTTGCGAGCCCGACCACCACGTCAAGATAGCAGGTATCGCTCGGGTTTTTATGAATTAGTAGACGTGCGAACACATCTCTACAAAGTTCAAGCACAATGAGAAGTGGAAGCAACGTAAATATGAACTGACAAAACCTTTATGCAATGTTTGCGGACAGAGGTGAACAGCGAAGGCTAAAGGAATAAAAAACATCAGTTATTAGTAAACGCAGACAGTTTTTATTTAGACTTACCAAGGAAATTCGGACGGAACAGTTGATGGTTAGTGAGAGAGGGAGAATCCTTAGCAGATCCAGGGTGCGCACATAACATAGCCCAGCTAGGTAGTGACATTGACAAGACGCAGTCTTCTACACACATTGGATGGCAATTCGAGAATATTCGGGTTGCGTTTCTCACCACACAAATGCGAACCGTTGCTCCAGAACTGGTCCTCAGTGCTGCCTAGGGAGTGAAATGGTTGGGTACGCTGACCACTTCGCTTGCCTGAGAAATTGGATCACCGCTGGTGCTTTGGTCAGTGACCGCCGAACTCTCTGGATGGATACAAAAGACTCGCTTGGCTCACCCGCTGACACCATTTATGCCGCTGCTGTGATATCTCATTGCCTATCAATTGTCGAGTGCATCGCGTTGCAATCTGCTCTGTTCTACTGAATGGTTGTGAAACATGGCCATTCGAGGTAGAGGATATGAGAAAGTTTGAATTATTCGACCACCGTTGCCTTCATAGTATAGGTCATGTGTCGTGGTGTCGTCACATCAGTAATGTAGACGTCAGGTGTAGAGTTTTAGGGGTGGGGTTGGGGGAAGGCAAGTCATTTGATGAGGTAATGAACCTTTGACGACTGAGGTTGCTGACTGGGACATGTGTCACGATGCATGCCTGGTCACCGTCTACCTAGGTTTACAATGTTGACTGAATTAGGTTTAGGCTAGGAAACGTTGAGGTGCGGCGACACTAAAACATGACATCAGTCGATGAAATCTTTGACTGTTGGTTTGAGTCGTGTAGGGAAGTTTAGACTTCCTGTTTGGGGTTTGGGTAACAACAGAAAGGAGTGGATGGAGATTAGATGATATGGCTCAGAATCGATACCGGTGGTGCAGTTGTATGCAGTTATTATCCTCATTATAATCGTCATACTGAATTTATTATTTTATCATAACTCCCTCCTCGCTTTCTGCCTTCTACCATTTTTGGATGATTCTTCTTTATTTCTTTATCTTTCGTCTTATCGCTTTCTCGTTTGATGTGGTAATGCAGTATGGCGACTTTGACCATTACGCAGTATTGGTAGTTTCTATGTTGATATATTTTATCGGTCAAAAATAGAGTGAGCCGCACATTAGTCCACTTTGTCCTATTGTATAGCTGTGAGAGTTGTTAAAGCCAGAAAAAGGAATTACACTACATATTTATAATCATTGGTCCTTTCTAAACCCCAGTGGTGTGATGCAGAATCATGTTACCAGTGTTGAGGTTAGGCTTAGAGTATCAAGTTAGGAAGGCAGGCCAGTCGCTGAAGTTGGGAACCTTCATCGACTAAGTGCCTTGGTTACTGTTTACTCATGGTGCCTTGATTCCCTATATTATCGAAAATGATACTTTGGTTGCCAGATCAAGGTGTGACGTTAATGCATTACAAACAATTAGATAGAATCACCATAGAGCCTCCCACACAAGTGCGTCGAATTAAGTTGCAACAATTCCCAATATTATGCCACAAACAATTGGGTAGAGGAAAAGTAATATCAGGATAAACAAAGATGTATGTAAGTAGAAGGAATTTTAAAATCATGCTTCGTGAAAATGCTCAAGCTTTAGAAGACACCAAAGAGTGAATACATCTGCACCATTGTGATCGGTTTTCAGCTATGACACCAATGAAAAAGGAACTAAATGACACCGTGAGTCTCCAACCATTGATTTCTATAATATAGACAGTGCAAGCCAGACAGTTTAGGTCTGCCTACACCTTTCAGACTGACAGCGAGTTCATGAACTGGTGTCGGGTTTTGGCTTGGCATTCTCAGTCTTTTTCTAACCCAATCCTACTTCAGTCAACATTGCTCACAGGAGTAGGTGGTGGCTCGGCATATGCAACACATTTCGAAGCCACGTAAGTCAGTGAAGGCTCGGACATTGATCGATTGTTCTGCCAGTCTTGCTTAGTACCCTTCGCCTAAGCTGGATATAGCTGCACACTGATTCCAGCATACATGAGCACTGCTGCCAAGATGCTCGAAAGTCCGAAGTCTCTTCACACACTTTCTGCGGCCGTCTCAAAGGCGTGTAATAAGAGAGAGTGAACTGCAACGCAAAGTACGCATTCCTTAGCAGTTAGTCGGATATCTCTCCTACACCCCAGATGGTGCAAGTTGGTCTTTAATTGTTAGTTAAGCCGTTTAGGTCATGTGGTTTTGTTTCTCGAAGCAATTGTAATCAGTTAGTTGCTCTAGGTGATATGACTCATAGTCAGTCACATTGGCGCAGATGTTTCTTTTCTTTGACATTACAAAATTTCGCTTCCTAAATGTATTTATTACATCCCTAATATACTTTTGTCTTCCTTTTTATCATTCTTTATCTATCCACTTCTTGATTGCATGCTATAGTTATGTATTTCAGCTTTAAGTAGTGCACTTCTACTCCAGGTATTGGTGTGAATTGTTTGTCTGATATTGAGTTGAAGGGTAGCTTCTTCTTTGCTGTGATCGACGCTTAAATCCTTCAACGGCTAATTTTTCGCAACCTACACCTCAATCAGGATGCTTCAAATTTTACGTGACCAAGCCTAACATTTTACGACTACAAATTCGTGCTCATATTTTGCTTATGACTATTAGAATTCTGTCATCCTGCTACATTAATTGATATTTCAAAGTATGCGAAAACTGGAAGTGCATTTCATGTATTACAAGGGCTTTAGTCATTTCGCTCTCACCTAAGATCGCTACTCGTTATTATTGAATTGTTCTATGTGTTTCACAAATAAATTTCAGTGTTGTGTTAATAACTAGCATAATAGACACTTGAAAACAATTCGTTAAAGCAGTTTTGTGGAGTTTGATAATTCAAGTTATTTTTACAATTGAGCAGATATTTATAAATATTTTCTTTGATTGCTTATACAGAAACTGATGTAATCAATATATTTTTTGCTCTATGCAATTTTTCATGAATTTTTAGGTTTTATTATTAGTCGTATCAAATACTGTTGGTGCATTTACAAACAATGGACATTCATCGAGCTGTAAAGCATTATGTTAGCAAAATGGTTTCAACAGCAGACGGTGGAGGAATGAAGGTACTAATGCTTGATCAAGAAACCTTAAAGATTGTTAGTGTTGTATGTTCAATGTCAGAAATTATGAAATCTGATGTCTACTTAATTGAACGCATAGACTCACCACGTGAATCTCTTGAACACCTACGTTGCATTTGTTTTATACGACCAACTAAAGAGAATATTAGTATGCTATCACAGGAGTTAAGGAAACCGAATTATTTCTCTTATTATATATTCTTTAGTCATTCAATAACTAAACAATTACTCAAACAATTAGCAGAGGCTGATGAAAACGAAGTAGTCGTTGAAGTTCAAGAATATTTTGCTGATTTTATCCCTTTGTCTCCATTTTTTTTGAACTTGATATAAACGTCAGCTTAACAGAAAGTAGAGATATGAATAATCGAGTCCTATGTAGAACTACTGATGGTATTACATCGGTATTGTTAGCTCTAAGAAAGTGTCCTGTAATACGTTATCAGAATACATCAGAAGCAGCTCGTCAATTATCTGAATCTATTCGTTCATTGATATCTAGAGAGGCTGTATTATTCAATTTTCGACAAACAGAACCTGCTCCAGTATTATTGATTTTAGATAGGAGACAAGATACTGTTACACCACTTTTATCTCAATGGACTTATGAAGCCATGGTGCATGAATTAATCGGTATCTCACAGAATCGTGTCAGTCTGGCTAGAGCACCAAGTGTGAAATCTGAATTGAAAGAGATCACTTTAGATCGGGAATTCGATGAGTTTTATCGTACTAATCAATTCTCAAATTTTGGTGATATTGGACAGTCAATCAAAAGACTTGTAGACAATTTTCAAAAAGCCTCCAAAGCTGTTGATACAACGAATTTAGAATCAATTGGAGATTTGAAAAAATTCCTGGAAAATTATCCTGCCTTTCGTAAGGCATCTGGGGCTGTTGATACACATGTAACACTTATGTCTGAACTATCCAGAATTGTTAAAGAGCACGCTTTACTGGAAGTAAGCGAAGTAGAACAAGAACTTGTATGCCATGATAATCATGCTTCAGTTTTATCTCGTGTCAAAAGTTTAGTGAGTGACCCACGAATTCTGTTATCTGATGCCTTGAGACTAGTGCTTCTCTACGCCTTACGTTATGGTAAACAGAAACAAGAGTTAGCTGGATTAATTCGTTCTCTGGTTACACGTGGTGCAACGGACGAAGATATTAGGATTATTGAGAAGCTATTAGAGTATTCATGGCCAGTGTCTACGTCTGATGGATTCGATTTATTTCATGTTGTAAAGAATGTTGCAACGAGTAGTGGATCAACGATTGTTGATGCACAGACTGCAACAAAAGCAATGGCTTCATTAAAAAACGTTTAGTTCAGGAATTGAAAGGCGTAGACAATGTTTATACTCAGCACGAACCGTTATTGGTAGAAATTTTAAATAAACTAATTAAAGGTCAGCTACGTGATGCGTCATTTCCTAGCCTAGCTACAGGTACTTGTTGGAAAACTGTACCTAGTGGACAACGTCCAAAGGAAGTTATTGTCTTTTTTGTTGGTGGTGTCACTTATGAAGAAGCTTGCAGTGTACATAAGATCAATTGTTCAACACCGGATGTGGATATTATCTTAGGTGGTACATGTGTTCATAATTCTAGAACATTTTTGCAAGAAGTGTCCGCAGTTACAAAAAGTGTTGGTGTCTCAAATACTAATTCATCCAAACTTATACCTAATGCTGTTGAACCTACTCGTCGATTGAAAGGAAACTCAAGAAGTAGCATCCGCTATGGATTACTTCAGTGAATGTGTTTAAAAATTAACTTACGTGTTGTTTGACTTTCTGTGATCATTCCAGTATTATCATTATTACTATAAAATTTCTGTTCTTTCTTGTTTGGTGATTTTCAACTAGTAACTAGCCTATTTCTATTAATATTTGCCCATAAGCACTTATAAATTACTTTGAGTTTTAAGAGTATTTCTTTATTGCTGTCGTTCTCCTTTCACAATCTTAATCGTATTCGAATAATCGAAGGGACTGATTTTAAGCGCTATGTTGAAAGTAGTAAACAACCAGTTACTGACAAATACTTTGTGTTCGTCCAAATTAGAATGTTATATTCCCAGTATAAGTACTATTCCTATTTTCATTTTTATATTCAGGGCGTTCGATGTCTGTTTAGGTATCTTCTTCAAAGCGGTTTGATAAATGTGTGGAGTTGTTATATTTTCTCACCAGTGATTTCTAATGGGCAGGATTTTATTGTGCTATAAGTGAAAGGTGACGCCATTCTCTCCTATCTTTTTGTTTGATTGGTTTGTTTATGGAACTACAGTTTAACTGTTGATCTTGTCGTCTTCTGAAATTTATCAGTCAAAACAACCAAAGCCTACAGAAAATCTATGAGATAAAGTGGAGCATGTTTTGTCGGAGTTAAATCAAAATCAAAGTAGAATGATAATAAGGACAACAAACAATCAACAGGTATATGTCTATGGCAGTCGTTATAACTGCATTGCTCTTATGTATGTAATAGGTTGCATGTGAATAAAATAAGTGATATTTAGATAGATGCACATTAGGATGACTGGTCGAATTCAACCCTTTAGCAGTGACTATTCCCGAAGCCCAACTGTTAGAATATCAAAGGACCAAACTGCTGGACACTTGAGTGGGAACGTCATAATCAGTAATAATCCAGAAACGAAACAAATTTATATACAATAGGTGTGACTAAGATTAATTATGGTCTAACTTTCAAATGAAACTTTGGCTCATTGGTCCGGGCAGTTGGTTTCTAACAGGTGGTTCGTGGACTTGAACTCCGCTGCACTTATCGAGGATCAGACGGCCAAGTATTATTATCTTTTACATAATGGGTGTGGCTCATTGGCTACTACAGAAACTTGCACATAGTTTCTGAGCCCCCCCCCCCCCCAACAAATAGTCAGTGGAGCACAATATTGAAGGTTTGCAGGCAACCTATAAATCTTTACCAATGTATATATGGCACGAGAGCGAGACTATTGTTTGCATTGCAATAGATAAAACCGAAACTGACTCACATAGTAAGCCTATCTGGTAAAACCAGATTAATAGATTTCGAAAACCAAAAACTAAACAAGTCAGAGTTCATCCACTACAGAAAATAATTCAAGTCAGTTCATTTCAGAAATACAAATAATAGCTTCATGCAATAAAAGTTCCTCTGGCAGCTTATCGAATAGATGTTTATTCACTTTTTATCGTAAATGATAGTAGTCAACCTGGTACATAGATTCATTTCTTACCTGAATTTTTTGATGAAATGGTAAGTATGACTTATGATCCTACCGAACGCATGTGGAAATAAATTACTGTCTGTCGACAACACAATCTTGCTTCCTTGTAGAGTCAGTCAGCATCAACATAAGACGTGGGATTACTGCTCGACGCTCCAAGTTGCCACACTTCGTTTTAGCACATCAAGCGAAAATGCAACAGGATGAAAGATAAAGATGAATTTATAGAAAGTAGCAGATAGTCATTAAAAGATGGTAAGGAAGAAAGAGAATACTGAAACTCAGCATGCAGACTAAAATAAGGATTATGTGTGGAGACATCTGTACCATTGATATCCCTGTCGATATCTGCTATTTTGATATGATGCTTGTGCTTGCTTATCACAATGACCCAGCGAGCTACACTGGAGAAACACTTGTTGCCTCAAGGTCCTACCATGCCAGAAAGGTCTGTTAGATAGTGGTAAGACGAAAAGCAGCTACCGTTGTAGTGTAAATTGCTAGACTATGAAGGGGATCCGAGAGCGAAGTTGTACTTCTGGCTGGATAGGGTGTGACGACAGTAAGGTGTTTCTCTTAGGTAATCGGCACTGCCACGCTGTTGCTACCTCCCCGACGGGAAGGGAGGAAGTTATGAAGGATTTGGGCCAAAAATAATGCATTTCTCCCTGCCCCACGGTCTTCTCGAACCAGCGGTATGAGTTTTGTGTGTTCGGCGTTCAAACACCAGAACTTTAAAACAACCCTAAGCAGATGTCCAATACCCTACGTGGTCACAAATATCTTCTCTTTCAGATACCTTAGAAGAAATAAGCTTTCTGCGGTATGAGCAACCGAAAGGTGTCAATCGCCCGCACACTTCCAATCGTACACAAAACCCAATCAAACATGATCTGTTCTTCTCAACTCTGTCTCCTCCTTTACTTTCACGTTCTTATACTAATACGTAGTCTCTTACAGCCTCTCACTCTGTGACCACTGACAACTAACTATCAAAGCCATCGAAATCTCATTCCTAGCTTACTAAAACCCAGCCATCGATTTCATGTAATGGCCTTCGACGTCCAAACTCTATGCCAAGTGGGACAACATGTATTGCCAGCCAGAACTCTGGAATCTCCAGCCATGGATGTGTTCTATGTCTCTGAAACACGTATACAAACCTGTGTGTTGTTATTAAATTGACCTCATTTGGCCATTGCGGTTAATCTTCGGAGACCCGGTGGTTAGCTCTCGTTTAGTCACTGGTGTAAACACTGAGATGTAAGGCGGAAAGTGCTTTTCGACTGGATATCAGTAAACAGCCGTCTATGCGCCGTTAGGTCTGCTAGAACTAGGAGCGAACGTGAGACCAACCGCTGCCTATTTTTAGTCTCCGTCTACTCACCAACCAGCTACGGTTCAGATGATGCAAATGATGAACTCTATTTCTCCGCGTTACTGATCTCAGGAAAGAGGCGATACTAAGGCTTGTCTATGCTTCATTGGAAGATGAAGACGCCAAGTACGTATTTGAGGAGGCGTTAGCTTATCATTTGTCTGAACTTGACAGCAATTCTCATCCTGAGGAAACCTTGGTTTATATTAGGTCATCTCTAGAAACAGCGGTAGAGACAGTTGGTAACCTACATTTGAAGGTTGGCAGACGTGAACGGATTTCTGCAGCGTCGTCATCCAAACTGATTTGTGGGAAAAGACTGATTCAGGCTGGCTGTGACCATAATGAAGAGAGAAAGCAATTTAAACGAAGATTGGCCAAGAGTCTTCGCGTAGATCGCGAGCAGTGGTGGATGATGGCAGTGCCAGAGATGGAGAAGGTATCAGCGTTGGGTAGCACGCAGCAGCTATTTAGGGTTATTCAGGATATCGACAAGAAAAAGACGATGGTCATTCCTATCCTGAAAAGGATGGGACGCTGATAACCTTCCAGGACAGGCGGCTAAAATGTTTGGCTGAACACTTCGCAGCACAGTTCAACTGGTCCACAGCAACTCTTCTGTTGCCCAATATACAGCCTGAATGAGACGTAGGTGTCAATCCTACAACTCTTTGAAGTCGAGAAAGCTGTATCGAAACTGAGACGATGCAAAGCTACAGGACCTGATAGTTTGCTACCTGAAGTTTTCAAGGATAAATAAAGGAAATTGCTAATTACAGTGACGGAGGTACTATGCAGTTAATGTGAATTAGAGGTAGTGCCGTCAGACTGGTCAACTAAAATCATCCCAGTTTATAAGAAGGGAGAGAAAAATTCTTGTGGAAGCTATAGGGGATTAGTTTGACTAATACTGTGTGGAAGATCTTAGGTTCCATAGTTATCCGACACCTAACTGGAGGTCGACAACAGCGAACTCGAGAAAACCAGACATATTTCAGACCTGGATGAGGGTGCATTGATCATATTGCCCTCCGATAGGTTCTGGAGCACAGACATACCTATCAGCCAATGGCCGACACTTGCCACATTTGTCGACCTAGAGGCTGCATTTGACTCTGTCTACCATGTGAGGCATTATGGAAGTGTCTGACTGAAAAGAGTACCGAGCAAGTGTATAGCGCTAATCACAGCTCTACTGGGACTTACGCACCTGTGAAAGGGCTTATAGAGAGTTACCATATGAATTAACGACATTCAGTTGTGTTCACCGGGAATATTTGCTGTCGCCGTTCCTATATAGTTTTGTCATGGATGTTCTAATGAACATAACCTTAGGTACGTGTGGCTTCACAGGGATTCATCTACTCCCTGGTTGGCTTGGAGTGTGCAGACGAAACTGTCCTGCTCGGTCAAGACGCTAACAAGATGCAGGGTCTTCTGAAGGCGTTGAGCAGAAATCTGTGTTTGTTTGGCATGGGGTTGGCACCTGTCATATGTAGGATGACAGATAGTATGCGGCTGCACGTAGAAATACACAGCATGAAATTTGTTACTCTTTTGTGATTAAACTACCTGCTGCAGACTAATCAGTTTTGATGAATAGTCTCAGAGAAAAAAAGATAACCAAAATTCCATGTGTGATTGGCCCTAATGTTACGATCCTTAAGCAACGACTTTTGGCTGCTTTCACGAAGACATGCCATGCAATAAGGGTCAAGTTAGGAGACACTACAGAGTCCACATATTCGTTTATGCCCTTACAACATGTGAACCATAATATCACGTCCCACTGTATTCACCTCTTCAAATATACGTTTAGCCATTCCTATATACGGACAACTCATCGATCGATGCAAAAAAGCCTTGAAGTGTATTCCGAATTAGCTTCAGAAGCAAAATCAAATCACCTAACTTCATAAACGCTTATAGCAGATATCCAACCTCTTCGATTACAATAATGATGCATCAAAGCATAGATATGTTTCGACATTTTTTGGGCCTATTTACTAAACGTGTCATGCATCTCACCTTAAATACACTGAGGCCTCAGCTATTCAAAAGTTTAAAGCATCTATGCGTTCTAAAACAACTTTTTTTATCTACACTAAGTCTCTTTTGACCTTGAAATCATGGTTGATATATA